ACTCATAGGGAAAGGAAGCAACAGCTAAATTTTATTTTAATTAAAGGATATTAAATATGTACAGGACTCACATGATGTCTGTATTTTAAAATAAAAATAGGTAGAAACAAGTTTTATGATGTCAAATTTCCTAGGGGCAGTGAAGTGGAGTTGGTTGGTCGAAGAGGATTCCATATCCTATGGAGGCCTCCCACTGATGGAGCTCACATCCAGTAAGGAGACCTCCAGGACAACACCCCTTTATTCTTTCTCTACCTTCCAACAGAAAGTGAAATAACATTTCAAGGGAATCGCCAAAAGGATAATCTGATAGTAACCGATGAGTAAACTTGGAAAGGGGCAAGTTATTGACTTTGACTGCATAAGCAAAGAACTCATACTGATATGTTACAGTTTAATTCACTTCACTAGTAACATTTTTTATTCCAAAGTTAAATTTGAAAGGAAATGGGGGAAAAAAACTTTCTCTAGTGCTACTCAAAGGCAAATAAATAGCTAAAGACTCATGAACAGGTTTAAGGCACAAGGCAGCCTTGCAGAACAAAGCTGGAGGAATTAACTACTGGAGCTGATATTTGCTCCAGTTTTAATTACTGCACTAAGTAACAAGGTATGGTACTGTTCCAAGGAAAGACAAAAAAAAAAATAAAGCAGCAAGTCTAGAAACAAACCTAAACACATATGATCACCCAATTAACATAACAGCAAAAGCCCCAGTAAGGGAAGAGTAGTCCTTTTTTCTCTCAGCTTTATTTAGGTATAATTGATAAAGAAAATCGTATGTAACTGTAAGTATACAATGTGATGTTTTAATATATACACACACACAGTGAAATAATTATCACAATAAAGCTAATTAACATATCATCACCTCACAAAGTTACTTTTTAAGTGTATGTGGTGCGAATACTTAAGAACTACTCTACTAGCAAATTTCAAGTATAAATAATATAGTTAATAAACTATAGTTATCACGTGTACATTAGCACTCCAGCACTTACTCATAATTAACTGCAAGTTTGTACACTGTGACCATCATGCTCCCCAATCAATAACCACTCTTCTGTTTCTAAGATTTGTTTTAGATTCCACATACAAGTAAAATTATGCAGTATTTGTCATTTTTGTGTCTGATTTACTTCATTTAGCATAATATCTTCCAAGTTCATCCATGCTGTTACAAATGGCAAGACTTCCTCCATTTTTAGGGCTGAATAATATTCGTGTGTGTGTGTGTGTGTGTGTATACATTAAAACATCATAGACTTGTGTGTCTATGTGTGTATATCACATTTTCTTTATCCATTCATCCATCAATGGACACCTGGGATAGTTCCATATTTTGGCTATTGTAACACTACAATGAACATGGGAGTGCAGCTATTTCTTCAAGATAGTGATTTTATTTCCTTTAAATATATACCCAGAAGTGGGATTGCTGGATCTTAAGGTAGTTCTATTTTGTTTTAATTTTTTGAAGAATCTCTATGCTGTCTTCTATAATGTCTATACCAATTTACATTTCCATCAACAGTGTCTAAGGATCCCATTTTTTTTCACATCCTCACCAACACTTATCTCTGATAGCAGTCAACAGGTATTAGGTGATATCTCATTGTAGTTTTGATTTGCATTTCCCTGATCATTAGTGATGTTGAGCACCTCTTCATATAACTGTTGGTCATTTGTGTTTCTTTTTGGGAAAAAATGTCTATTCAGGCCCCATCTTTAAATCAGGTTGTTTTTCTGTTATTGAGTTGTATGAGTTCTTTATATATTTATTTTGGATACTAACCCCTAATCAGATACAGTTTGCAAATATTTTCTCCCATTCTGCAGGCTGCCTTATTTTGTTGACTGTTTCCTTTGCTTTGCAGAAACTTTTTAGTTTAACGTAGTCCCACTTGTTTATTTTTGTTTTTGTTGCCTGTGCTTCTGATGTCATATCTAAAAAAAATCACTGCCAAGACCAATGTAATGGAGCTTTTCCCCAATGTTTCCTCTTGAGATTTTATAGTTTCAGTCCTCATGTTTAAGTCTTTAATCCATTTTGAGTTCATTGTTATGTATGGTTCAAAATAATGATTCAATTTCATGTTTTTTTGCACACGGATAGAAAGGGCAGTCTTTAACAAACAGTGCTGAGTCAACTGGATATTTACATGAAGAGAAAAAAAAAAAACCTTGACCCCTACTTCACATCATGCACAAAAATTAATTCAAGATGAATCAAAGACCCTAATGCAAAAAGCAAAGCAACGTAACTTTTAGAGAAGCAGAGTAGGCAAAAATTTCTTAAACAGTACACAAAAATCACTTTAGAAGGAAACATTGACAAATTGGAATTCATTAAAATTAACAACATCTGGTCATCAGAAGATACCATTAACAGAGTAAAAAGCAAGACATAGACTTGAAGACATTTCCAACACATACATTCAAACAAATGACTTATACACACAACTCCTTCAAACAAATTAGAAAAAGGCATACACCCAAGAGAAAAAGGAGCAGAAGACTAGAAAAGGCACTTCATAAAAGACAATATCCAATCGTCAATAATAATATGAAAACGTGCTCAACATCTTTAGTCATCAGGGAACTGCATATTTAAACCACAATGGGACACCATTTTGCCTTCATCAGAACAGCTAAAACTGAAATGTATGACAATAGCAAGAGCTAGTAAGAATGTGCAACATCCAGAACTCTCCTTCACTGCTGGTGAAATTGTCAACTGGTTCAACCATTTACCAAAAATTCAAACTCATGTCCTGACAATTTCACTTTGGGGTACATACCTGACAGAAACAAATAATCAGTATATCAAAAGACCTGTATAAGAATGGTCAGAGCAGATTTATTCATAATAGCTATAAACAGGAAACAACCCAGATATCCATCAACTGAAGAACTGATATACAAAGTGTGGTATATTAACACATGGAAAAAATACAATTAAAAAGACAAGTATTACCATAAGCAACAATATGAAGGAATCTCATAGACAGAATGTTGAGTGAAAGTCAGTCAAAAGAGTACATACTGTATGATTCCACTGATATGTAGCTCAGGAACAGTCAAAAGCACTCTATGATGATAGAGTTAGGTTAACAGTAGTTACCCTGAAACAGGGTAAGGAGTATTGCCTGAGAGAGAGCATGAGGAAGCCAGAGGAACTGGAAACGTTCTACTTCTTGATCTGGGGTGGTTTCATCGAGCTCTACACTTAACATTTGTGCTTTTTGCTGTGTATAACCTCTACCTCAATAAAAGAGAACAATAAGAAAAATAGCTGTAAGGTTGCAGGCAACGTACCCCAACAATGAATGCAACATTTTGTATGTACTTCATTTTTCTTAAAGGTTCTTAGCTTTCATCAGTTTTTCTTTTAGAATGTCAACTCCCTGATGACAGATATTTTTGTTCACTGCTACATCCCCAGTGCCTGTACACAGCAGATACTCACTGTATAACTACTTACAGAATAAGTCTGTAAAAGAGGCTGTTAACAAAAATAAGATGAAAAAATCCACTAACTAAAATTCTGGTATAATGAGCATTTAAACTAGCAAACACTTAGAAAGTAGTTAGTAGAGCCTAATGAAGGTAATTTGAGATTCCTTATTATGCAGGTGTATCTTACAAAGACTGAAGTAAAAATTCATTTTGTGTGCTCAGAATTTAAGAGTCTGCTTCTATGATTCACCCTGTATTGGGCCACCAGTACCCAGATACCAGGTTAAAGTATTTGCAATTAAAATAAACAAACTTCAAGTTTAAAGACATATTATATTAATTCTTTCAAAAGATTGTTGAAGCAAAAATAAATAAAATTTAACGGAATTTTCTAATATCAATTAAACCAATCAACCTATAACAGTGGTTCTCAACCTAGGAATGAGATTGTACCCACTCCTGGGGACATTTAGCAGTATCTGGAACATTTTTGCTTGTTACAAGTGAAGAGAGCTACTGACATCTAGTAGGAAGAGGCCAGGGATATGCTAATCATTCTACAATGCACGGGGCAACCCCCTCCAACACCAAATAATTATCTGATCCAAAATGTCAACAGTGCTGAGACTAAAGACATCCTGAATTAAATTATCAACTGTTAAACTAAAGGATGTTATTCTTAAACATATGAAGTAAATAGTTCTACTTAAACTGCAAAATAATTCAAATATATTTCAACCACTACTTTTTCAAAAATACGAAAGCAGTATTTTAAAAGTTACTCACTTAAATCAAATGTCATTTAAAAAGGGGAAATTTAATGTAAATTCTGAAATAATAACCATCATTATCATTTCTAGGACTATACTAGACGTATTACTTATCTCATTTAATATTAATGTCCTCATGAAAGTAAATAAAATTTTCATTATAGAGATCAGAAAACAAAAACCTCAGGAGATTAAATAAATACTTGCCCAAGGTTACACCACCAGAAATGGCACAGGTGAAATTTGAACCCAGATTATCTTCAAATCCATGGTGTTCCCATTAAAATGCATTAAATTTAAATTTCCACTGAGAGGCAGATCAAATTAAAAGTACCTAAGTTTCATTTCCCACTGAATTAAGTATGCTACTTTAGGAAGTGCATAGCAAAATCAGAAGCTACAATTTAGGAATTATGCAGTAAATGACATGTAGGAAAGAAATTAGTGCCAATTTTTAATAAAGGATAATCTATAGGGTGTTTTTAAATCACAAATAAAATTAGGTCGTTTTATAAAGAGATAATCCAAAATCATCAAACACACTCTGGTTCTGGTCAATTACTGAAAATAATACCAAAGCCGAATATGGAGCTTAATCTTGACAGACCACTAAAATGGACTATCTACTCATCCCTACATAATAACATTAGAGTCCCAACTGAAGCTGATCTAAGAAAATATTCCTATATTAAATTGTATTTATTTTTTTTACCTCAACACTTAAAGTTGCATCATGATTCTCTGCATTAAGAGAAAGAAAAGTGTTCTTACCCTATTAAAGCCATGTTCATGAGAGTCATCAACTTCTCCATTACTAGTCACTGGAATTTCTGCTGCTGAATTTTTGGGAGATTCTTGAGCCATTGTAGATTCCTTAAAAAAAAAAAAAAAGGAGAAAAAAAGCTATAATATAATACCAAAATATAAAAGACAAATATTCAAAAAACTCTATCATGTTTACAACACTATTTTAATAGTCTTAAAATTGAAACCTACCTAATACTTACATAATAAACATTTACTAATATAATAAAAATGCATCTGGCTGTTTTAACTGCACTTAACATAATGTCATCAAGGTTCATCCACGTTGTAGCATGTGTCAAAATGTCCTTCCATTTTAAGGCTGAATAATATTTTATTGTATGTATATACCACATATGTGTATCCATACAACCCTTGATGGACATTAAGATTGCTTCAACCTCTTGGCTATTGTAATAGTGCTGCTTACAAACATGGGTATGCAGACATTTTGCAAGACCCTGCTTTCAATTCTTGTGGATATATGCCCAGAAGTAGTGTTACTAGATCATACTGTAATTCTATTTTTAGTTTTTTGAGGACCTACCATACTGTCTTCCATAGTAGCTACACCATTTTATATTCCCACCAGCAGTGCAAAAGGGTTCCAATTTCTTTGCATCCTCACCAATGTTTATTTACTGTTTTGTTTTTGCTTTTTAAGCACCCATCCTAATGGGTATCTGGTGAGATCTCATTGTGGTTTTTATTTGCATTTCCCTAATGGTTAGTAATGTTGAGTATCTTTTCAAATGCTTGCTGGCCATGTGTACATCCTCTTTGGAGAAATATCTATACAAGCCCTTTGCTCATTTTTACATTAAGTTATTTGGGGTTTTTTGGTCGTCACTGTTGAGTTATAGAAGTTCTTTAGATATGAACTCCTTATTAGATATAAGGTTTGCACAAATTTTCTCCCATTCTGTAAGTTGCCTTTTTGCTCTGGTGTATCCTTTGATGCAAAGAAGTTTTTCATTTTGATGTAATCTGTCTATTTTTACTTTTGTTGCCCATGCTTTGGTTTCATATCCAGGAAATCCTTGCCAAATCTTTTTCCACTATGTTTTCTTCTTAGAGTTTTGTAATTTTAGGTCTACATTTTTAAGATTTCGATCCATTCTGAGTTAATTTGCATATGGTATAAGGTAAGACTCCATTATCATTCTTTTGCACATAGATATCCAGTTTTTCCAGCACCATTTGTTGAAGAGACTGTCTGTTCTCCATTGGATGGTCTTGGCACCTTGGGTTCTTTTGAGATTCCTGTTCACCTCATTCTCACTACAATCTCACACCAGATGCAGATTATTTGTGGCTATTGGGCTTAAGTTTCTGTTCTTTACAAATAAGAGATGTACAAACACTAGTATTTGGTCTCTAATCTAACCAAAAAGACTAAGATCTAGCTATCTAAATAACCATCATCTTTTCAAATTGCAAGATTATGTTCTTACTTTATTCCTCCTAAAAACAGCTGGTGATCCAAAAGTTATTTACTATGAGCCTACTAACTTCTGTGCAATATATTTGGAATAAAAAAGAAAAATATTTATTTTATTTATTTATTTATTTATTTATTTATTTATTTATTTATTTATTGAGTTGGAGTCTCACTCTGTCGTCCAGACTGGAGTGCAGTGGCCGTTCCCAGTCACCGCAGCCTCAACCTGCTGGGCTCCAGCAATCCTTCCGCCTCAGCCTTCCAAGTAGCCGGAATTACAGGCATGCGCTACCACACCCGGCTGATTTTTTGATTTTATTGTAGAGATGAGGTCTTGCTGCCCAGATGGGTCTCGAACCCGCGGGCTCAGGCAATCCACTCACCTCAGCCTCCCAAAGGCGCGGGATTACAGGCTGAGCCACCGAGCCTGGCTAAGAAAAATATTAATTGGTTATTAGCCTTCCAAGAGCTTAAAGTGTATTGGCAGATAAAAATAATAATTATACTACAGTGTGGTGGAACTTGAAGTGGTGGCTGATGCCTGTAATTCCAGCAATTTAGAAGGTCAGAAGTTTGAGACCAGCCGAGGCAACATAGCAAGACCTCATCTCTAAAAAAATAAAAAAAAAACGTAGCTGAGTATGGTGATGCATCTGTAGTCCCAGCTATTCAGGAGGCTGAAGTGGAAGGTTTGCTTGAGCCCAGGAGTTCGAGGTTGCAGTGAGCCATGATCATACCACTGCACTCTGGCCTAAGTGACAGAAAAAGATCTTGGTGTTTAAAAAAAAAGTATAGTGAGTGCTAAGAGGGTAGCACTTAGTAATGTGGTGAGCACTAAGAGGAAAATCTTATCAGAAGTGACATTTAAACTGAATTTTGAAGTATGATAAATAGGGACACAGTGATGGAAAGATCCTTAATAGAGGGAACATAAGGAACAGAGTGGAAAAAAAGTCTACTATATCTTGGAAATTGCAAGCAAAGAAATTTGGCAGAAATGGTGATTGCTCACTCATATATTCATTAACTAATTTATTGAGTTCTATAATGTGCTTGGTACATTATTTCAGACATGCAGAATAGAGTAATGAACAAAACAAACAAAACTCCCTACCCTCATAGAGCTTACATTCTAGTTGGGGAAAACAAACAAATGAATAACATGTTATACAGTCATAAATGTAAATGGGCAGGCATATGTATATGCATTCAGACTTGTGCTGTTTTAGCTGAGTGGTTACAGAAAACCTCAGAAGACGTAAACAAATTTATATGAGACCAAGGAGTCATAAAGATACCTGGGGATACAGTCTTACAGGCAGAGGGAATAGTGAGTAAAAATGCCAGGAGGGGAGATCATGCTCAACTTTTCAATGAATGACAAGAAGGCTATGTGACTTGAGGGGAAAGAACAAGGGGAGAACAGTAGGAAATGGCAGAGAGGCAGTCAGTGGCAAAACACGTGTGGCTTTAGAGAACATCATTAAGAACCATAGATTTTATTCTGAGTGAGATGAGAAGTCACCTGAGATATAAACAGTGGAATCAATTTGACTTACATTTAGAAAGGACTGTTAATTTGCTGCTGTGTTGAATTAAATAATAATCAAGCAAAGGCAGAAGCAAGGGGAATAATTAGGAGGCTACTGGAATAATCGAAGCAAGAGATGATGGTGATGTGGATTAGGGTAACAGTGGCTGAGGATGTCAGAAGTGGTCAGACTCCAGGTATATCCTCTTAAGGTAAAGCCAACAGGAATTCCTTACAGACAGATATGGCATACAAAAAAAGGGAGGTCAAGGATAACTCTCAAGAGTTTTGGCTGAATAACTGGAAAGATGGAATAACCATTAGCAAACCTGGGGAAGGTTGGGAAGGAGCACAATGGAGGGGGAATATCATGAGTTTAGTTTAGGACATAATCAGGTTTACAAGCCCATTACACTTCCCAGTGGAGAGGGTAGGCAGGTTACTGGATCTATAAGCCTGAAATCCTGAGAAAAGCTTGAAACTGGAAATAAGAAATTTACAAAACATCAGTGTATAGAATATTTAAATTTCTTTGACTGAATGAGATCATCTAGAATAGGTGAACATTTTTTTCTATGAAGGGACAAACAGTCAACATCTAGGGCTCAGCCATAAGATCTCTCTTACAACTACTCAACTTTGCTGCTGCAGCCCCAAAGCAGTCGCAGACACTATGTAAATGAAACAAGTGCAGATTTGGCCTGACTCTTGCCCTAGAAAGTGAGTACAGATTTAAAAAACGGGAGGTCTAAATATTGCACTGAGACACCCCAAAATCTGAGACGTGGGGAAATGAAGAGGAACTAGCAGAAAAACTTATGAATGGTACATCAGGTACAAGGAGAACCATAACAGGAGGTTTCTGAGAAAGGACAGGTAAAAAGAAGACAGGTGTCTGCTTCTCAGACTGATAGACTAAGACCCTACTGAACCTCCTCACTCCTGCACAGAAAGCAACTATAAAATTTGAACACAATTTAAAAAGCAATTATCTGAAGGTACTAGAAAGTAAAGAAAAGCAGAAACTGTGGTACAGAATGCATGCTCACTTGGAGGACAGAGACAGAGAGCTATGTTAGTAAGTTTCCACTTCCTTGGCTTTTAGCTTAGCACTAAATGCTATACATGCTGTGTACCCCACAGTGACCTGGGCACTCAGAAGGAAAGCTGCAGTCTTTCTTAGCTGGGGAAAAGTTAAGTTGAAAAACAAAATGACAGGAATATGAAATCCTGAAAAGTAAAGATCCAGAAAGGGAATCCTTGACTGTGTCTACTCATACCTCTGACTAATGCACTTGGGCAGAACAGACTCAAAGGGGCTCATCTAAAGACAAATGATCCTAAATGAGATTAAAGCTGTCATCAAGAAACAGAGTTTGAAATGCAAGCTCAGCTAAGAAAATTACCTGCTAAAACAAAGGAAATAATGCTCATTGGGGAAAAAAGAAAAGAATCTAGAATCTCCACACTTCAAGGTTCAGAATGCAATCCAAAAATACAATGAAGCAATAAAAAAAATTCACAAAAGAAGATAATCTAGAATCTGAGGTTAACTAGACATTGGAACTAACAGACAAGAATTTTGCAAAGCTAATATAGCTGATCTTAAGTAAAATGTTTTTGATGAATGAAATTTTGGCAAAAAACATAGAAAATCTCAGTATAGAAATACAAGCAATAAAAATGAACTAAATGAAAATTCTAGAATTGAAAAGCACAATTTTTAAAAATCATTAGTTGGACTTAACAGCCAAATGAAGATAACAAAGAGTAAATGAACCCAAACTAAATAAAAATACATTATCCAATGTAAAGAACACATGGAAAAGAAGATTGAAAAAAAAGAGCTTTAGGAACCAATAAGATGATACTAACTGACCCAACATATGTGTAAATAAAATAAAAGGAAAAAAGACAGAAATAGAACAGAGAAGACAATTAAAGATCTAATGGCCCAAAATTTTCCAAATTTGATGAGAGACAAAAATTTGCAGATACAAAATGCTAAATGAATATGATGCAGAATAAACACAAAGAAGTCCACGTCAAGACACATCACAGTCGAACTATTTAAAGCCAAAGATAAAGAGCCAACCT